TGTTAGGTATTAGAATGTGCTGCCCAGGGAGGTGGTGGAGTCCCCATCCCTGGAGGGGTTCAAGAGTCGGGTTGAATTAGCACTGAGGGATCTGGTGTAGTTGGGAATGGTCAGTGTGAGGTTAATGGTTGGACTGGATGATCTTCAAGGTCTTTTCCAAGCTAGACGATTCTGTGATATTTTTAAAATGTCATGTCTGATACAGAAGGAATAGGAAATAAGCACAAGTTTCTATTTGTAAAGGAAACTTAAGATAACTAAATGAATGCCAAAAACTGATATTAAGATTACCTTTTATTCATACAGCAATTTTTGCTCAATGATCTCAGACCATTTACAAGTATTAATGAATTCCTAAAAAGCCTTGTGAATGATGTAAATATTGCTATTCCTAATCTTAAAATTAGAAAGCATGGTATTCTACAGATGTAGATAAATTGCAGCAGTTAGCTAAAAACAAGTATCCTGTGTTTTGTAGAAAAAAACCCATACTACCTCTTGGTTTATAGCACTTTTTCATAGTGAATGAATGATGACATTAAATTAGAAAGATTAGAAAGAAAAATGGACAATTTTTGCAAACATGTTGTGAAAGAGGAAACCACCATGTGAGTCATGTGACATCTGTCAGTTATATACACAGAGAAATTTTTCACTGTATTTAAAAAAAAAAAAAAAAAAAAAAAAAAAAAAAAAAAAAAATCGAAGTTTTCTTTTTGAGCCCAGGCCCTTAGCGCAGATCACCTGATGAAAAGTATTTGCATGTTTCAGTCTCTATTACTCAGTCACTAGAAGAGTCTGCAACATCAGCTTTCTACTTGCTAGCATTTCACAAGGATTTCCTCCAAGATCTACCTGTGGATAAGCTTCTGCCACTTCAACATGGCCATTTTAAATACCTGATTCTTTAGAAGCTTCAAGAACATTAGTAGCATCAATAAGTTCACCTATGAGCCTCTCTCCTTCCCCAAAAATGTAACATTAACTCAGTATGTTGAAGAGAGGTCCACTGGTGCAAATCTGCATTAATTTCTTTAGAAAACCACAGTACAAATACAAACAGAATGCTAAACTGTTCTGGTTGGAGGGGAACAGAATTTTGTTAAAATCGTTAGGACAAGGTCTCTGGAAAATAAGTATCTATGCTAAATCTTTCATCAAGATAGAATGAATCCACATAAATTATGAATTCAATTTAGAAAGAAAAAAAAAAACCCTTAATACATAATTTGGATAAATACCTTTGCCCAGGAATCAGAAATCTTATGCGTTGGTTGGAATTCACAGAGAATGCTCTATGCACCCAAATGAAATGGAAGATGAAAAATGTTGACAAAAAAAAAGCCATTTGAAGAAATTAAGAATCTAACAAGGAAAAAATAATAAACACATGGAGTTACAAAAGTAGATTTTTATCTCTTTTTTTTTTTTTGTGGAAGATAAATGTTTCATTTCAAACAATCAAAATCTACCTTTAAATAAAAACACTTGTTTGACATAATGAACATGCAAGCTAAAAATTCTATTAGTGCCAATTGCAGACAATTATGGGATTAGACGAGTATACATGGCTCTGTGGAGGATTAATACAATGTTTGAGAAAGCACAGAACAACAGTTTTGGATGCTATTCCTGGATTCCTCATAAGCAGCAACTATAATGGCTTGCTATGTCTGGAAAGCCAATTTAAAGCTGTCTTGCATCTCCAAGAAGAAAGCAGTACCTAAAACCCCAATCTTGTAGCACGATGAACGCTATTTAGAACCAGATCTCCCCAAAATTATATAAGGAGCTGTGCTGAGTCTCTGGCAGAATTTAAGCTCCAAGTCCAACACCTGCAAGCCTAAGACTTTGATTCAGCTAACAGAAAACTGTTTACAATGTTTCCCCAGTGACTAGTGTTGGGCTTCTGTGCATGCAGGAAAGCATTTTTTAAAAAAAAAAAAAAAATGCACTTGCCAAACTCAGAGTGTATGCAGGAACAAAACTGTTTAGCCTAGTGTTTAAAGCCATTATCTGCAAGAGGTAAAAACCTGATTCACATAATTTCTGGCAACCCTTTTTTCTGCCTATCACAGATATTCCAATAATCTAAAGAAAAGACAGGTTTGGACTCATGATCCAAAACTATGGTTATATATCCTTAAATGCTGTCTTGAAATATTTATCTGTTTTCCGTAGAGGGGTGGTTTTTTCCTACTACAATAGTTCGCTTGTGTGCAACCCAGAATGTGGAAGCAGTTAAAAGTAATAAAATACATAATTTATCCCTCATCCATTACAGCAATAAGCTCTTGAATTATAAGCATCTCTTTATTATGCCAACATTAAGAAAACATACCCATCTAACTACCAGTAAAGAGAAAATTTGGTATGTGTGTAGATTCATTTGTTACATCCAAAACCTATCCAGTAAGTGAGGCTTGAATCTTAACTGACTTAAGCACATGCTGAAAAGTTTGTAGAGCTGGGACACTTGGTCTTACTTTTCATGTACAGTCTTTTTTGAAGTCCTTACGTTGTTAAGATTCAAATTCCAGAAACTCATAACCTACCAAAAAAGTACATATTGGAACAAACTTGTGATTTTTAGTTCAGTAGAAAGAAAAGAACAAATAAAACCAGTTTAACAAATGTAAACCCCCCAACGTTTTCCCAACAAGGGCAAGGTTTTGTGAAGTCTGAAGCAAGATTACTAGTCTAAATTCTCATTCTTAAGAACCTTATAGTTCTAAAACAGTTATAAAACAGCTTCACAGACAGAAACATGACTGATCAACCACTACACAATTCAATTATTCTCACCATGCATCTATTGGTTAGAAAATTCCTCCTGAACAAAGTCTGGTCTTCAGTTACCTAAGGACCATGTATGTTAGATTTTTGTTTCTTGTCCTTGAATTATACTTTTCCATACAAACAAGCAAATAAATTAACAAAAGTGAATCTGCACACTTGAAGACTCTATGTCAAATTCTTTACTGGGGAATGAAATCCAGGGAAACTGTACTACCTTTTGACCACTAATATACTGTCTAGCAATCTATACTGTATATATGATAGGATATTATTCTTAATATTTGTCTCAGGACACTCTAAAGTACTTAACATTAAAAGAGAGAGTGCAAAAGACTGGGCAATAAAGAATTCAAGTTGTTTACACAACCTAAATTCTTTCCCCTTTGCTCCTAAGCAGTATACCTTTTATTCATGTGATCACATACTGGCTTTTTTAATGTAACTGATGTGACCAGTATGCAAATGGATAGGACACCAAGAACAAATAACTCAGAAATTTCCATCATTTCCACCTCCTGTTTATGGCTCAGTAAATGAAAATGTTAATTATCCAAATCTGATAATAAAGCTAAAACAGTTTCACAGTGTTAAGGTCACTGTCATTTCTAAACTATGAATATGATATCCAAATCAAGTCATTTTTATTTTTCTCCTTTATAAAAGTTTAAGCCTTGGCTATATGATTAACATTAAGGAGTTGCATCAGTTGTATAATGAAATTGCTGTATCTTATTCCCTTATACATTATTTTGTCATTCAAAATACAGTAGTAAATAATTCTCAGAAAATATAAGTTAATATCAAAGTTCTATCGTTACTTGAAATTGAGTTGCATGGTTCATTGATTTGGGAAGTATCAGCTGTTTTTTGCCAACTTTTCATCTCACAGAAGTTCCCATTAATAACCAGTTCAGAAATACAGTTTTGACTTAAATAATCCTGACTATGTTTGCAAATTATCACTTAATATTACAAAAAGAAAGAAAGAGAAAATGAGGAAAACACAATGGAGAGAAGGTAGTGATACAGTGGAGAGGACCGAGTAAGACTAGTGTAGGAGATTGGAAAAAAAAAAACAAAAAAAAAACCAAAAAAAACTGGTAAGCAAAGAAAATAACTAGAAGGAAACTGCTTTTCATACAAAGTGAAAGAAAAAATGAAAACCTTTAAAATGTGATGAAATTAATTTACACAGAGAACAGAATTGTTTACCAAGCTATTTTAAAAACATTGTAGATTGAAGCAACAGAGCCTCCTTAGAAACACTCATACTAGTATCAGCTACAGCCCCGAAATTACTGAGAGTATGGATATCTAGGTATTTCTGGATTATACACCTTTGACAAATACCTGACTTGGAATTGATTCTCTACAGATTAGTTTGGCCTAAAATGTTTTTTAAAAATGAATTTTATGAGATTGCATCAAAAAATGAGAAAACTGTCCTTTTTTAATGAGAATCAGAATCAGGAGGGTTTTTTCTGATGAAAAAGAGAGTTTATTTGGAATTCTCCAGTATAACACATGAATTGGAGCCTTGGGCTCGAGCAAAAAAAAATCTTCCAGGAGTATTAGCTATGAATAGTAAGACAATTTCTACTGTTCCCTGGCTTGAATAATGTAAATTAAAACATGCAAATAACAGAAGTGATGGAAAGTGAATTCTACTGCATTTTATTCAGATTGATAGGGTTTAATTGCTTTTGATTCTAGGTAACTGGACCCTTGCTTTTACAGAGATCTCAGTCTTCCTGCAGGATCAATACAAGTTCAAGGCCTAAATATTGAAATCCTTATGCATTGTTTTGTTTTCTGCTTCTGTCTTTGTACCATAGTAAAGTGCCACCCTTATTCTAAGTCGCTTACGTTTAGAAGTGGGAAAGAGGACAGATTTTTACACTTCCAAAATGTAGAAAAGGTTGCTATGCCATTCTTTTAACTCTTTTTTTTTTTCCATCTTAATTATCAAGACAAAATATGATTTTTAGGATTCAGATTGTGCTGTAAACTATAGGAAGAAACATTACAAACACAAACTGAGTTTTACAACAGAATTTTAGAAAATGACAGGGCTGAGCCTTGGAGGTGATTTCTGCATCTACAGCAGGAGCAAGCACAGCCCAGCGATGCAACTGTAACATTAAAAATGAGACCGGGCAGCTTTAAGAGAGAAACAGGAAGCTGTAACTAGAATCCAGCTGAATTCTGAGCTGGGGCACTTTACTATGAGGCTGCAGATGAAACAGATGTGCTTGCTGTGAGTTTCTGTTGTATCTGGACTTTTTGTACCAAAGGTGGTAACACTTTCCTTCCTGTGATTTTTTATTTTTCCCCCTTATTTTGCACATATTTTCCATAAAGGGAATGAAATGGAGAAGTTGAAGAAATATGTATCAGTGAAAGATGATCAGTTTTATCATCAGGGAGCTGTGGAGTTGCTGGTCTTTAACTTTCTGCTCATTCTTACAATATTAACAATTTGGTTGTTTAAAAACCATCGATTCCGCTTTCTGCATGAAACTGGAGGAGCTATGCTTTATGGTGAGTATAAATTCAATTGTCAGCTTAACATGGGACTACTTGCATATTTATGATCAGGCACTTGAGATCATGTGCTGACAAAGCTCGGAAAATGTGCCAAATTAGTGACATCAGTGCCATAAGTGTACAGTTAAATAATAATGTAACAGCATCTCATGAAGTAGCTAGAGGCTGACTTGTTAAGGGAGCAGCGATCACGAGCTGGTTATCCTGACAATGTGCACATTACGTTCTTCTGTGGACAGACAGCCACTGCGTGACGCTTTGGGAGTTAGGAAGTTCCCTGTTTCCAAAAGAACTAGATGCCCTCAGTGAAAGATACTAATTTGATCGTTTTTCTATTCTTGCTTGATATAACATCCAAAGGTATTAGACTAAGGAGCTTTGTGGATACAGCCATGTTGTCTATTAAAGTTTAGGTGATCTTGATATTTTTCTTTTGGTTTTTTGTTTTTTTTTTTTTCTGTGCCTTTGAAAAAACACACTATGAAGAATGCCTCTCTCAAGTCTTCTCTGAATGCTGTCATTGTACTGTAATTTCAGTTTGCCTATCTAGTTCTGATCTTGTTCTATGAAGTTTTGCAATCCTGCGTATCACTTTCATGCAGAGCATTCTGCATTGTCCACTAAGTACTCACTAATTTAATGGTATACATTCACATGTATAATGATTTCTCTTGTCATTCTCTCTTACTGTTGTTTCAGTTTGAGTGGAGTGTGTGACTGCCATTTCTGTTACCATAAAACACATATAGGAGGGTAACACTGTCAAAGTGGAAGATGTAAATCAACATTTCAGTCGTTACATATCTAAATGCCAGTCTGTTTTGACTCAGACTCATTCTGTGCACATCACATACTCTAGCAGTGTAATACCCCAAACTAGTTTTGTTAAGATTGCATATGTTGAAGAATATTTGTTTAGCATGGCACACTGCATGCAAAACCTCTGTGGAGGTTCAACTGCAAGCCCACGACAGGAAAGGCAACTGACCCTACATTTTGACATAAAAGCTTCATTTGCTCATTCTATATCAAGCATTTTAAGATTATTTCAGTTCTACAGGAGGACTGCTGCTGAAGATCACAGTCTTCTTTGTATCCCTTTCAAACTATTTAAAGAAATTAACTGTATGAAATTTCAACAACACGGGATATTTCTTCTTCTTGGTTCACTTACTGTCTTCACAAGCAACTTGATACTTTGAAGGACAGCAGGTAAACAAGAAACGCTTGTATTAAGCCAGTCACTGAGCCCCTGACACCTGGGTCTTTGGGACCTCTTAACTCTCAGTTATCTGCCTTGCATTTATTTTAAAGAGAAAAAAAAAAAAAAATTGATAATATGCCCTTCCTATAATGTTGAAATCTGTTGCATATAGAAAACACACTTTAACTGAATTGGTTGAGACTGAAATACACATCTCACAATACTTAGTTAAATGCAATGGTTCCATTGTCAGACATCACCTAGATTGCTGTTTAACAGTTTTAGGGGGTACAAGCTACATAGCATCACTGAGAATACATTTGCTTGTTGCATTTCTGTTACCATTTCTCAAAAGGAAAGCCATGACACACTATGCAATATATTCATTATGATCAACTTGTAAATTGTGACAATGTCTTTCTAATTACATGGGTGACTTACATAGTAGCTTCCTTTACACTATTGTGCTGTTTCCCATGAGTGGCTGATGACATTTGTTGAAGATTTATGCAAAAGCCTATCAAAATAGAAATTAAATATGGGGGATACAACATTACACAAATAAATCAGTGGTTAGAGTTTTATCTGTCTTTTGGTTCCATTTTGCTGCCTGCCCAGAACATAATCTGCACATCATGAGGATAACCAGTTCATGATATTCTTTTGATCAGTTAAGAGATCATCAGTGCCCCAGCAGAAGAGAGCTTCTGAATTATTAAAACATTATTGAACAAAGAAACACTCTTCATGATTGTAAATAAACTATCTATTTAGTCTTGCATTATTTATGGCAACCTTCAAACAGGGAAAAAACTTAATTGTAGGTTCCAAAAAGCTGATCATGTCCTTTTTATCCTTAGAATTTTTGGATATGGGTCTAGGTAACTTCAGTACTCTGGACTAGCAACAATGAAAAGAAAATAGAATTTTAGAGGTCATGACAGAGGTGTCAGATCAACTTCAGGAGAAAGCCTTCATGGCACCAAGCACTGTCAGTGAGCTAAAACCTGCCCTCACTTTTTTGCCTTCATTATCAGAACAATCCTGGTTTATACCTTTTATGTAAAAAACAAAAGTCTTTGCCCTACAGCTTGCTTGACTCCAGGCCATTGAGCTAGATACAGGAAAAGCAGCACAGGCAATCGATAATTTTGCTTCAAGTGATAGGAGAATATGGCCACTTACTTGCAGACTGTGTCCCACAGTATGATAGAAGGGTCTGCATTCCTTATCAAGACAGTGTGCCATTATGGGTATAGCAGTAGAAAGGATAAAATGAAATATGAGGAAGACCAGAGGGAAAAGAAAAACAAACAAAAGTACAAAAACAGGAAGAAGTTTTAAAGTTACTGCAAAGTGCTGAACAGCCACAAATTGAACACTAGGAACAGCCTGACAGAGTTCTATTTAAAGTATAGAGGAAATAAAAGGGTTGGTTTAGGTTTTCTTTACATAAGCTTTGTAGGAAAATGCAGTTTTAGGATTAATAGTTCCAGCTAAAAAAAGCTCATATTGGATAACTGTCCATTTAGAAGCTTTAAAAACTGAGATTTTTTTGTTTGTTTAATCAAAGCAATGGTTCAACACTAAGTATTAGTATATTTAAATTATATAGCTTTCTGCTGTTGCAAAGAAAAAAAAAAAAAAACCAAAAAAAACCCCAAAAAACAACTACAAAGCATTTAGCATAACCCAGAATTAATTCACAAGATTCAACATTATTTTGCAAAAAAGAAAAAGTTATGTGTACATATATATGTATATATAAATTTCAAAGCACTTAGATTGAAAGTATTTAAACACTCAACTTGTTTTAACACCAATAACAGTGAAGAAAAATACAGATTTACCTGTTTATTCATTCACTCCTTTGGTTTCCAGTATCTCAGAGAACACACTTCTCTACACCCTGTGGCTTGGTTTGGCAGACCAACCTCAAATAGTAAATTTAACTTACCTCCAGATTTCTGTGTATCAAGGGGGCAGGTGGATATGAAAGAGTAACTTTGTGTCACCCAGAAAGGGAAGAGCATCCTTTATATACAATATCAGCCCAATTTTCTATACAACAGCACAGTTAGAATTAGTGTGATAGATTACTTACACAAGCGGTAAAGAAAACTGAATGTCACTTCTCTCAGACAAGAGTAGGTGGCCTCTCTTTTAGCACCAGACCCCTGAAGAGGACCTCTTAGTACTAGACAATGGTCAACTAGACTGTAAAAGTGCCCATTAGCCAGCTCCTGCAGGGCCTGGTATCTTCAGATACCTCTGTCATAAAACATTCAGTGCCAAATTTCCCATATAATACATAAGTCATAACCCTCCACATCAACAGAGGAGTAGCCCAGAATTTAGGATGACATACAGGTGCCACTAATTACCTCTGATTAAGAGGCTAAAGCACTCCTGCAGGTAGGCAACCAGAATTAAACTTTAATAAAAAACCTACCAAACAAACAAAACCAAACCCCAAAACCAACCAACCAACCCAATCTGCGCCTTTTATCTGCAAAGCTAATTAGCAACTTTAGTTGAAATTGTTCCCAGCTTGAATAGTTGTCAGCCCTAGGGAATGTGTGGTAGCTGTGAGGGCAGAGGTGAGGCTGACTGAAGATGTACCTGTCTTCAGAGTTGTGCTCTGTGGGACTGCTTGATCAGACTGGAAGGAAAACACAAAAAGGACAAACGACAGAAGACAGTCATTGTAGCACACACAAGAAATGACTTTGTGTTGTATTCGTTAGAGATGCTTCCTGAAATTTGAGGCGATTGGAGGTCTACCACCTTTTCTTTTTTCCCTTCCAAATGCTCAGTTCTTGGCAGGTGTGCAGTGGGAATGCTGACTCACAGTAGCCCTTCCTCAGCCTCTTCTTAGGATCCCATGCAGCGTGTTTGGAAATGAAGCACAATCCAAGTTCTTGGTTCAGCTTCAGGGGAGGTGGCTAATGATTAGGCAATATGATTCCTACACATCCTAAATCCATTATGCCTCTTATGTGAAACAACTGTAGTTTCCTTCTGTTTGTGTGTTCTGAGTACCCCTATTTCTTAAAGGCAGCAATGGATGTAACAAGTCCCAGAAAGGGGAATCTCTCGCCCTCAATAGAGTACCTCATTGTCTTCCTGACTACAACATTCATAATGAAGAGAGATTGTCAGGATTCAGAGGAAAGCATGGGAAAATCATGATGAAGGCAGAACCTGACATTTTGTAGTGGGTAGGTGAAGAAAGGAACAGCATTCTTGAGGGAAATGAAATTTGGAAGAAAATCTAAAATGTTTGGAAAAATCAAGGAATGGCTAGAACTGCATCCTTGAGTGTCACTATTAAGGAATACATTTAACAGCTGACTAGATAAAATCCTGGGGAACGAACAGTCCTGTTTGGCACGAGTGACTTGAGAAATCCCTTCCAATACTCTCATTTATGATTAAGGATTTTATCCTGCTTCCACTGCAGAAGCTGCAAAACCTGCATTGCATTCAGTTGAAACGTGACTGAGTTTTAGTTAGAGTGAGATTTTGTTGCAAGATCTTACTTCAAAGGACAGTTGAGACTTTTAAAAAGAAATCTGTTACATTAGTTACACCCTTTTCTGTTTCAATCTGCTATTTAAATAGATGTGTTTAAAACATCAATTAAATGAAGCCTTGCTACTAGTTATGAAGGAAAATGTCTTAAGGGGATGCTGAGCTGAAAACACTTATCATTTGATTTGGACTACAAGATAGGTACTCCGTGCTAGTACCCTCAAGTTTAGCCTGACATAAGAGCCTGCATTTACGA